TGCGGAGCTCACTGCAGGTCCTCGGAGGCTCGGTACATATGTATGGTACATACGTGATTGTATATGAGAAAAATGGAGAGGGAAGAGTAGAGATGTCCAGCACTAGTGAAGCAGGGAGATGATCTCTCCAAACCAGATAATCTTAACTATCTACAACACCTCAGAAAAACAGAGCACCGCTGAGATCCATGATACAGGCCTCACTCAACATGCATTATTTTTTATAATTTTCTGTGAAATAGCATAGAACGAAATCTTATTGACAAATAACTATGCATATATATGGAGGAAAAGTATAGTGTTTTGATGCATGGACATACTGCCCACTCACTAAGTCAGGGAAGTTAGTGCCTCTATCACCTCAAACGATGACCATTTCTTTGTCATAGCAACAGTCAAACTCCTTGCTTTGGGTTATTTTGAGATATACATATCACTAAATGTACCATTATCATCATATGTCATGTAGCATATCATTGAATGTAGCAGCTTTACTGTGTGACAATGTGTAGTTTCCTATTTCACTGTGACGTCTGGTGTACTGACCACTGTCCCCTCCATCGTCGCTTCCTCCTTTCCACCCTAACTGCCAATAAGCACTATTCTTTTCAATTACCTTTTTAAAAGTATCTGGTTTATTTAAAGGAAACCCAGTTAAGGAGAAGGCTGGTTGGAATATAGTTTAACGCCCTACTACTGATCAATGAGAAGCTTGGCTGAGTCTTAGCAATTATTTTTCCTACTATTTGCCAGTAATTAGATTTGACTGGAAGCCTGCAGGTTAAGAATATAGGAAATAGCAATTTTTAGAGGATTGCTGGCAGCAAATTCTGCTGTCGAGTGTATAAGCAAGCTCCTCTCTCTGCTTCATTCACTCCTCCAGTCAATATTTATTGAACACCTATTATGTCCTACACACTGCTGTGGGTTGTAGGAACACAGCAGTGTAAAAGACTAAGTCACACTCTGAGGGAGTGCACATTCTAAGGTGATAAGAGAGGGAGCATGGGTAAGGAAGAGAGAAGCCATGAAGGCAGAGATGGTGGACACAGGGCTTCTCTGACATAGCGTTTGAACAAGTTCTAAATACTGAAGATTATTTGATTTTATGGATGATATGACAGATATTTCATCATTAAGTTCATACTCCGCCTATATATACTGTTCTATGTGTATTTTAGTAGCTCATATCTTTTTTTTCCTGACCTAGGTTCCATGATAAGAGTTTGAGATAAGGAAAACAGGGAATTTTCAGGTCTTTCTAGCGAGTTATTTATGATTTTTATTATGACATTTTTAACTTAACTATGAGTCTGGAACACAAGACCTTGAAACATTAGCTTAAGTGATCATGCTCAAGAGGTTAAATACAGAAGTGAGCTTATATCTTGGCATCAACTTTGGTTCCAAAGACAGATCCTGGCCACAGACACACCATCAGTGTGGGCTTAGGCAAGCTGCTCTCAAAACAAACAAACAAACAAACAAACAAGCAAACAAACAACACCAGAGTCTGCCCATTCTGAAGAACATTAACCGACAAACACAGGCACAGCTAGGACTTTGCCGCAGCCCTTCCTAATCATTTGCATCATCATCTCATGGCCGACCTGTCACCTGTGTAGACTGCACAGCCATCGACGGGATGTGAGTTCTGACGGACAGAATTTCACGGGGCTCACGTCACAGTGCACGACCAGATCCAGTCCTACCAAGTTGTGAGACAACAGGGGAATGAAACCAAGCGGAGGGACGCATGGAGCACTGAGAAGCAGAAGCCAGCCCGAGACTGCCTAGCGTTTCAGACGAGCATCCTGGCCTGTGGGTTGCTGCACAGACAGGCAGAGTCAGGTGCCGGAAGTGCTGAGATGAACCATTTGAAAAACATGCGCGTAATTTACCGGAAGTCTGCACCGCTTCACTTTTCACCGTCTTCCTGTTGCTGAGGGAAGTCTCTCCTGGCCACCTTCAGGCCTCTATACTTAGGGAGCCCTGGAAACTCAGTGAGGCCTATCCCAGATGCCGAGCTCTCAGAGGGGAGCGGGAGGACAGCCTTGCTTCCTGTGTCACATCAGAAGCATAGACCCAGTGCCCTTCATACTTGTTGGGGAGAATTATCCCAAGCGCAGGCTGCCCATGCATTTGGATATACATAATTCCCAACATATTTCTGAAGGCAATTTACATGAGTGAACCACTAAAAGCCTCCCACTTAATTAACTGTACCCCTGGGGAAAAGCTATGTAGGCCCGGATAAGTGTGGGAACAACATAAAGGTGTTCTCTGTGCCAAAAAGGGGATTGGGCTTGATGGAAAATCCCCAAAAAGGACCATCTGGCGGCATAAATTATCCATTTAAAGTGGCTGGTGTGAGCTAATGACACCAAAGTCGCCATGAACATGTGCAACATCCCTCGGTTGTGTTTTAATGTCCCCTCAGGCCCTGTTTCAATTATGACTTTCTATGCTGAATATGGCCAAATATAAATTCATCCACTATGCTCTCCAGTCCCCAAAAATATATTGCCATGAGATTGCATTTTTCTTTAATGAAACAAGGACAGACAATGGGCAATCCTTTCAGGAACACGATTTCTTTAAGAAGAAGGAAAGGAAAAAAATCTCTCCATGCAAAGAGGATTTAACCATTAAACCTAGTTATCTGATGGCTGGCAAAGGGTGCGGAGACACAGATGTTAGGATTTAGAAACATTTGACTCGCAATGTGTAGGTATGAATGGGAACCGCTGTGAGTAAGAGAGTTACCAGGCTGAAGTGTTCTGTCCAACTGGACACCACAGCCCCCAAATATGCCAGAGAAGAAGAGGAGGAGGCTGGGAGGGCTGGACTCACTGTGTGGGGCTTTGTGTCTGTCAGCGTCATAAACTAGCTTCAGTACACATGGGACATGTGAGTATAGTCTCCTGCACACATGTTCCACACCTGTATAGTTCATTCTAATTGTCACCGAAGCAGGGCTCAACAAAGTTTCCCATCTTTTAATTTTTCAGTACACATAAACTTTCCATCAGCGCTACACAGGGGGCATGGTTTACTGGCAATGAAAGTCAGTGTTTGCATTCTCGCCTGACCTGGCTTTATTTCTTAGGCACTTTAAGTGCTGGTTGATATACGTGCGGACAAAGATGACGGACGAGCAGCCTGTTGAGGACAGCCACCACGCCTGGAGTGTTGCATGGATGACATTCAGAGACAAGGACACTAGCAGATCTTGGCACCCCTGTGTCCCTCACAACGCACAACACAAGATCGTCTGCTCTGGTTCTGCACCTGCTCTAAATCCCCTGAAAGCAGGAGCCCCTGCCGCGTCATCTACCCTGGAGTTCTCGGGAGTGGCATCATACTTGATCCAGAAATTTCAACTGAAGTTTGCTGAGTGGGTAAACTCAGGAGCTGTGTGAGGGCACTGGGCAGAAGGAAATCACACAGGAGTCTTACATTTTCATAAAGGAAGAAGATTAAAACAACCCAGTCGGTAGGGCTTGGGGGTTCATTGGTACTTGTTTTTTTTTTTTTTTTTTTTTTTTTTTTTTTTTTTTTTTTTTTTTTTTTGGTTTTTCGAGACAGGGTTTCTCTGTGGTTTTGGAGCCTGTCCTGGAACTAGCTCTTGTAGACCAGGCTGGTCTCGAACTCACAGAGATCTGCCTGCCTCTGCCTCTGCCTCCCGAGTGCTGGGATTAAAGGCGTGCGCCACCACGGCCCGGCATGGTACTTGTTTTCAATCAGGACAGAATGCAGCTAAGGTAGGGAGGAGGCGCACACTTCTGTGAATGTCAGACTTTATATCGATTATGGAAACTCCCATGATCAGCATCCAGATGGCTCCATCACCCTAAAATCTCCCTTCTGTGGCTTCTTTATAGTCATATAAAGCCATCTATAGCCATAGAGTTTGTATATTGAAAAACTGTTGGGGAGGAGAGGGAGGTGTAAGCTTGGAAAATGAGGGGCTAGTTCCAAGATTTTCTTGGTGCCCGTCTGTTCTTGCAGGCAGTTACTTTGAGACTGGAGTGAGGAGGGATAGCCCGAGAATTTGTTCTTTTTTCTCTGTATCCTTATGTGCTGGATATAATTCTTAAGTGGACAACACAGATCACTTCACTCTATCCTCAAGAGCACTGAAGCAGCTCTTACTACGGTCAGGTTGGGTTTGACAGGAAGGCCGTGTAGTCTGGCTGTAAGCACACAGCCCTGTCACTGAAGCGAAGACTGCACTTTAGATGATTCCCAAGTCTCTTTATCTTTTACCCATCTGACTTGTATTGACAAAGGCATTGGAGCTCATTCCCCAAGCTATATGGAGGTCAGATGTTAAGGTTTGACTTGTATTGACGAAGGCATTGGAGCCCATTCCCCTAAGCCACATGGAGGGCAGACTTTAAGGTCTCCAGAAGCTGCTGATATCATAATTGCTCTGAGATTCTACAGCCACCGCTGATGACCCCACGGTTAGACCAACAGAAATGTACCCAGGTTCGTGCAGACAGACATAAAAGTAGTTGTAGTGTTTAAACAATCATGATGGAAACCAACAACAAGGAAAAAACATCCAAATGTTCGTACGTTATAAAAATCCAACGTAATCTGTGGCATAGAAGACTTGTTCTGCTTTATACTGCTATCCATAGATTTGGGGAATTTGATAATTTTCCTTATAAATACTAGAGCATGCTTAAAAAAAAACAAAAGGCGTGTATGTATAAAAACAAAAGAAAACCACCACCCTGGAGACAAGGGGAACAATAAAGCCTGGAGCTTGAGTCCCCTGTGGGTTACACAGTGAGAGACCTCAGCTCGACAACGACCAAAGCAAAATGAAACACCTGTGGGCTCCATGCAGGGGACAGCCGTGAGTGAGACACACACACTCATCTGCCTTTCACTCCGGCTGTATCTGCTGTTCCCTGCCGCTGTACGTGTGAGGATAGGACCACCTGTGCATGCTGTCTCCTTCCCGCTCATGACCGTCCCCTGCTCACCTGGCTCGACTTCGTGCCATCCACTGGACTGACTGCCGCTCCCCGGGGAGCGCCCTTGGCCGGTGTAAAATGGTTCTTCACCAGGGCTGTCCATTTCGTCCTCCACAGACTTGAGGCGCTTGGTAGAGCTGATGGAAGAAACAAAGAAGAGCCTAAGCCACCTCTCTCCTGGACACCTCACTGGAAAAACGTGCAGTTCTAGGACCCTCTGCAGGCTCTTGTGGAGTTGTGCAACTGGACGTGGTACGCAACCTTGGCCTATGTGCCCAAGCTCTGGCTTCGTGTTTACTGATCAAGTTGTTGCGACCCCTCCATTTGGTGCCTTGTTTTCTTTGCGGAGTCAGTGGTTGGCTTCTGCTTTGGCCTCCACTTAGGAAGCCCAACTATCCTAGCGCCATAGGCATGGCTCAGGTGTGGTCATTAGCAGCACGTCTAGAAACTTATTCAATTCTCTGCAGAAGCCCCCAAAAGGTTAAAAATAAGTAAATAAAAAGCAGGGCTCATTATCTTTCTAGGGATGCTTTGATAGCTTGGGGGGCATTTTTCATCTTCCACTTGGATTCGTTCATTAAAAAAGAGATATTTACTACACATCACGTAGTCCGGATACTCCTTTAGGCACCAGAGATAAAATGCCAAACAGAATGGCTCAAAATAGCAGGAAGGAGTGAGTGCTTTGCCTTGAGATAAGGAAGAGCACAGACATACAGTCGTCTAGGGGCTTTTATGTCCTACACAGAGATGAGAAAAATGACATTTTATTTCATTCGTGTGAAGGAAGACTCAGTTTCTATAGAAGTATGACAGAGGAATTTTTGCAGTATATTTCTTTCCTTCGAGCTGAAGAGCGACTGAGGAACCTCCCCACTGTGAAGTGTGAGGGTTGGACAGCAGGGGCACATCGCCTGCTGCTGATGTCTGCTCTAGTGAGCGGACAGAGAGGGCCAGGAACACACTGCTGTGCACGCAGGTCTCCCACTCTGGGCAATGGCTGTGGGAAGCCTCCTGCCCACGTGTCAGGAGGAAGAACTCGCTCTGGGTTTCAGTCATCAGACACTGGCTGTGTAGCTAGCTCCTCCAGCCAAGGGCAGCACTCAGACCTGGAACAGTGTGGTGAGCCAGACATGGCTCTCCAAGAACAGAGATGGAGAGGCCCAGGGAAAACAGAGGGGGCACGAAGGAACCATGCACTGGCTGCGGATGGAGGTGCGCCGGTACTTAGACCTGGAGCTTGGGAAGGGCTCCTCAGGGCAGAGGGGCTCCTGAGCTGTGTGTAAGGGCTAATGAGATGGCAATAGAAACAGGAAGTGGCTAGAGTAGGCTGCCCCCACTAATGCACAACTCAGGCACTGTATGATTTTAAAAATATTAAAACCCTCGGTATTTTTTGGCAAACTGCCATTGCCTCAAGTTTCATAAGTTTTTTTTTTTCTAACCTTGACCTTTTTTCTTTGCCCCATGACACTTCCATGCCTCAAAATCTAAGAGGTTAATGTCTGGCCCCTGGGGTCGCAGCGGAACGTAGAATGGCAGGGCAGCATCCATCCTCACTGCTGAGCTCATGGTGTAAAGGTCACCAGATACTGAGTAACATCCCAAGAGCAGGTGCCTGGCAGCAGGGGCATAAGCCAGGTGTGATACACATAAAACTGCTCCTGAGATACTGAAACCAATAAACCAATGGAGGGGCCCAACAGATGAACATGGAGGTCAGAGAGGATACGGTAAGTCTGGACTTTATCCTACAAGCAACAAAGACTTCTGAAGTCCTCTATAGGTGTGACATGTGACATTGTGGAGAAGTGGCTGGGTAGTGCAGAGAACAGACTTGGGATGGCAGCAGGAAAAAGGAGGGGTTATAACCTGGGTAAGGGGAGATAATGTTACTGCCACAGTCTGAATTTTAAAATGCACAGGACACAATTTAGGTAAGAAATTTAAATCATTCACGTGGGTGGTTCAGTATTCTTAGGTTTTAAGTTCTATTCTCATTAAAACCAGATTGCAGGGAAGCAGCCCTCTGGTACCATGCTAATTTAGGACTCCAGGTCGGGTCTGAACTGCCTGGTGAATGGTCTTCCTTTTTCTGGAAGTTTGGTGAAAAGTAACCACTTGAAAAAAACCTTTTCTGCTTTATGTAAAATGTGGCGACGGCATGTTCTTTATTTGCAATTATACATACTACATACTGAAAACTAATTTCAATACATAAAAAGCACAAGCCCCTAGTGTCTCTCAACACAATCCTATTATCTCTTTTAATGGAAAATACAAATGTTCTAACCAACTGGTTCCCCTTCTTGCCTTGCAAGCAGGTAGCTAGGGGCCAAATTTAAAGCAAATCTCTTGGTCAAGGTTCTTGATCTAATAAGGAGTGCCCTCCTTTCCATATGGGTTCCGGTTTCTGTCTCTACACTTAGTAATACTTGTGTTTTAAAACTGTCAGCCACTTGAAATCATCTTGCAACTTAGAAGACTGTAAGTTGGGTGAAAACCTCTGGTATACTCCAGTCAGTCAAATACCAGACTTGCCTGTTCTGGCAAGACTGCAAGAGCTGTGGGGATGCAGGTAGGATCCCCCCGCCCCCCCGGGAGTGGTGCTGCCTTGGTATTCCATGATTCTTCTATTACTACCCAGAGTTTTATGTATGCGGATGACCAACAGGACTAATTGGATCCCGCTCAAGTGCACCCTACACAACTGACTACATGTTTTACAATGGCAGTTGTGATGTCTGGGGATAGACGTGACGTGCTTACTGAAGGAAGTTCCCAACTGCACCCAGGGGGCACAGATACAGGTTGACATGGCTCAGGGAGTAGCAGATTCATTTCCCAGGAGATTTCTGTACCTGCTGGTGCCCTAACCACCCTTCCCCAGACTCCTTTCCTCGCTTTTCACGTGTATCCGGATGTGATCATTTATCTGGCTCTGGATTTGACCCCCAACGTGAAGACTTTTAGAGAAACTGACTGGCAGAACTTTGAGGTCGTGGGAATAAGAAGTGCAAGTGATGTCCACTGTATCCTGGCTGACAACCCAAGGATTCTCCATCTTTTTTTTTTTTTTTTTTTTTTTTTTTTTTTTTTCAATCTCACATTTTATTTTATTTTTTAATTTATTTTTTTAAAAAAATAAAACAAACTATCTTTTTTTCATTTTTCATATCAATCCAAGTTCCCACTCCCTCCCCTCCTCCCAATCCCCTCACCTTCCTCCCCCACTCCACCAGTTCTCTCCTCAGAGAGGGTAAGGCATATTACTTTGAGGAAGGACCAAGGCACTCACTAGTATATCCAGGCTGAGCAAGATATCCATCCAAAGAGAATGGTTCCAAAAAGCCAGTACAGACAGTGGAGATAAGTCCTGGTGACACTGCCAGTGGCCCTGCAGTCTGCCCCAACATATAACTGTCACCCCCATTTAGAAGGCCTAGTTTGGCCCTATGCTGGTTCCTTCTTTGTCCGGCTGAAGTTGGTTAGCTCAAGTAAACTGTTTCAGTGGGTGTCCCCATCGTGGTCTTGACCTCTGTGCCCATATTCTCACTCCTCCCACTCTTCAGTTGGTCTCAGCCAAGTGTACCACTGAGAGTCTCTGTCTATTTCCATCAGTTGCTGGATGAAGGTTCTATGGTGACATTTAAGATACTTATCAATCTGATTACAAGGGAAGGCCAGTTTGGGAACCCTTTCCACTATTGCTTGGGGTCTTAGCTGGAATTATCCTTGTGGATTCCCAGGAATTTCCTGGGTACCAGGTTTCACGCTATTCCCACAATGGCTACCTCAATCAAAATATCTCTTTCCTTGTTCTCCATCTCTGTCTTTCCTCCATCTCACCTATCTCATTCCCTCAAGTTCTTCTTCCCCCTCCTCTTCTCCCCCAACATTCATTTTGTCAGGAGATCTTGTCCATTTCCCCTTCCCAGGGGGAATCTATAAATGTTTTTCTTTTTTTTTTTTTTTTTTTTTCCCATTGTAATCTTTTTTTTTTATTTTTTATTTTTTATTTTAATTTATTTATTTATTAAGAATTTCCATCTTTTTTATCAGTATCATTTTTTGATCTCTAGTGTCTACTCCAGTCAGATTATTATAAGTACTCCAAAGCTTCTGTGACGAGGGATCAGCCAAGCATCTATATTCAATGAGATCCAACCCCAGAGGTCAATTCCACTGTGTGCTGCTCTTTCCTTGTTAATATATTTCTGAGTTCTAAAACTTTGGGATTTCTTGGGAGTGTGCTAGTAAAATTCAAGTGTGAACTGCACAGGTGGGGATACCTGAGCTTGCGTATGAGGACATTCAGGATGGACACTGGCTCAGCATCTGCAAGCTGGATGTGTGGATAGAAGGACAAGAAGATCCAGGAAGAAGGAAAGTTGGCAGTGCTAAGAAGGATAGGCAGGGGGCTTCCGAGACACAGTTACTGATCCTATGACCTGCACGTGGATGACTATCGTGACAAAGTTCTTTAGAATAAAACGCTTATTCCTATTTTTATCCAACTTTTCTGTGATTTTGGAGATGCCCATCCTGCTGCAATATAAAACACACGGGAAACACAGCTCATGCTTATTTTGTTTACTTTATCTTCACTTTTATAAATGAACTGGTCCTTGATTCTGTCTTTTGATCCTGACTGTCTAATACAAGGATTCTACTGCATGCTTCCTAATACATGAGACACACCTTGCTTTGTACCCACAAGGCAAAACCATTCCCCTTACTGAGTGTTCACATCAACCAATCTGAACATCTCTACCTGTCAGTGTGCAAAGCTCCTCTGATTTGTTTTGGTGCCCATGGTGCCAAGTAAAAATACTTTGTGCCTATTGTTTGCTTCTGAGTTGGAGAAGAGACACTGTCCTTCAAAGGGCATAGAGCCAGACTGGGAGGAAAGACAAGCTTATGCCACTCAGAAAGCAATATACTCAGACAACAGCCACATGGACCAGGGTGAGGTGGTGACTTGAGATAACTGCTTTGCTGGGACCCCACATTCTATGGTTCCTGGATACACCATTGTTACTAAGACAATTCACTGCAAATAGCTATGGTTTGTAAATTGAAGAAGCCCCAAATTTGAATGGCGACCTGTCTCTACTGGGGCTATGGCCCTGGAAAGCTGCTGAACTACTCTGCGTGCCGGTGGCTCCAGGGCTGCGATGGCAAACTTGTCTGCTGGAGACAACTAAAACTTTTTTTTGTATGTGATTCTGGGCCATTCATCAAGGCATATTTTCTAATGCGATACAGATAATTCTGTTGAGTCTATATATTGAAGGACTTTTTTTTTTCTTTATTTTTTTCATCACTTTATTGTGGGCAGTGATATGCCTCAACAGGTAAGGTGCTTGCTGAGAAAAGCTAATAACTCAAGTTCCCTCTGGGAAACTCATGTAAAGGTGAAAGGAGGAACTGACTCCCAAAAATTTGTCCTTAGCTTCTATTTTACATCCTTGCAAGCACACCTGAATATATTCCGTCTCTCTTTTTCCTCTCTCTCCCCTTCTCTCTCTCTCACACACACCTACACACTAATAAAACAATAAATAAATAAACATCTCAGGAAGAGAACAACAAAAGAAAATCAAACATTACTAAGTTATTAACTAGTAATATTTATAATTAACTCCTTATCAGGACTAGTTATTTACAGAATAGGAGTGTGTGGAAGGACAGGAGGAAAGGAACACTGCAAGAGAGGTCCATGGGACAGAGGCTCACATGTGAAAAACAAGTCACCCATGCACTTTTAAATTAAGCTCCACCCGTAAGTATTTACAAAGCTTTTATTGTTGACAGAGTGCACTGTCTCTTCTGGCAGCAAATATTAAAAATCCTCCAAGTGTATTAACACCCAAATGTATTCTCAATCCCCCTTTTCTATTATAAATGCATTTGGGATTTGAGACTTTTGTTTTCTTGTGGAGGTGATACTGTAATGAACCAAGGAGGACATTTAAACAATGCTGAAGATATAATACAGTGTTCGAAATGACAGCTTGATTTATCTTCAAGTTGATGCTTAAGACACTGTTCATAAAGGTAAGGTAGATTCCCACACCAAGGAGAATGTCCACGCTCTGGGCATTATTTTAAATCATAAATGCCGAACAGAAATCGCATTTGATAAATGTTTTTCTGCAAAGCCGCAAACATGATTGGCAGCCCTACTCTGCTCCTTTCTTGGCTGTCACAGTCCAGTGCTAAAGCCAATTTGTTAGGAACGCCATGGCTCTGATGCCTAATCCCCTGCCCCGCGGTACAGGTTATCTAGAGACAGCAGGGTCTTGCAAAGTGCTTCTCCAGATGTTGGCTCTGATAGTTAACTAAGGGTATCAGGAAGTCTGGCACTCACAGGAAGCTGTGCTGTCCAACCTTGGCTTTTGCAGGCCTCCTGGACCACCTGGGTCCAAAGTATGGCCCTATCCTGCTATCTGACCTGTATTTCTTTTATAACCTCATACCAGGATACCAAATCAGATGCATCTTTGGGGAACTTATGGGGTCCAGCAGGCTAAAAAGGTTGTGGCCAGGGTGCATAGGCCAGTGTCCTCAGTTCCCACCATATCCCAAGCAAGCCAGGGCACTCACCTCTTTTTCCCCAGCCAAGCCCAGCCATCTTTCCCAGAGAATATGCTGCATCCATTATCACTCTTCTCCATGTATTCACTCAAATTATCCCTCATCCAGACACCGTGCCTTTCCTGCCTCGCCTTAAAGCATTCAGAGTGGAGCACCTCACCATTTTGGACAAAACTAATTCAAATCATGCTTATTTCATGGAATACACCTGAAGTAATTGGTTCTCTTACTGGTGTGTGTGTGTGTGCGCGCGCGCGTGCGTGCGTGCGTTTGTGTGTGTGTGCACGTGTGTGTGTATGACTTGCTATTTGTCTCATGTATATTTGCTTTGTCTCTCTAATGAGATAGCCTATTGAGGCTTACCCCACTTCTTTTGTACCCTCTACTGTTATAGACACATTGCTAAATATCCAGCAAGCTCAGAGTTCAAAATCAAGGTGTGCTTTTCTGTGTTTTAGCCTCTTGGAAGGCCACCAATTCACTCACCTGGTTGAGGATGTGCTGGGTAGAGACCTCCTCATTGCTCCTGGACTCATGCTGTAGTATGAGGAACTTTCCAAATCAGAGAGAGAAAAGTTGGGGCCGGTTCCTGCAGCGATTGGTGCTAGAGAGAGGAAAACAAACAAACCATAAGTTAAGTACTATGGATTCCAGATCGACAGAAACTGATGTTAGCGTAGCATGGAACATATTTTCTGTTGGCATTTATCTGCAAAGCTTATCCGGAATAGACACGAATAAACTGTGACATCAAAGGAACACTGACAGTAAAGATGGTCCACACCAGAAAAGTGCATTCTTTCCGAGGCGCCCTTTATCTTTTCCTTTCTGTAACAGTAAACTGTCACCAAGCTTGCGGCATTCCTGGATGTTTTAAATGAAAATACCTCTCATATTTTAGTCTTATTTTTTTTTTCAAAAATGACTGCCTCAAATTTTCTCTAGGTTTTTCTTCCTTTGATCCCAACAGCGTCTCCTTATCGGTATTTTGGAATTCCGTCTGAGTTTTAATGAGAGTGAATCGTCCATCTAGGCCCCCATTTCCCATTTCCTGCAATGGGAACTGTGCACTCTCTTGTCTTTGTAGCACATGAACTCCCTGCATACATCTGTATCTTGAGGTCTGTTGTTTTGCTTGTTAATTTGGTGGGATTTTGATTTTTTTTGGTGTGTTTGTGTGTATGAGTTACGTTTTTGCAAAGAAGGGTTGCTTGCACGGCATGCAGCAGGGACAGGAAGAACTGCAGTGATGACGAGATCGCATGGCCCGTGAAGCTGAAGTAGTTGCTACCCATACTTCATAGCAGATTTTGAAAACTTCTGATCCAATTGATCCTATCTATTATCTTTATAGTGAATCATTTTGGAGACATGATTACCTGTATTTTTATATCTTCCCACTTCTAGACGCCTTGCCTACAATAGCTTAACAAGTATTTTTTGAATGAAATTAGTCACACCTACCAATCTTTTTTTAAAACTGTAAATTCCACATTGAGACTAATGGTTCAAGAAGCCTCTTTGAAATATTATGTAAAAGAAGTACAGTAGATATACTTAAAATATAACATATACATATTAAGTCCACCAATGTAGAGAAATACATTCAATACATTAATATCTATTAGGAGAAAAGGTAATTAGGAACACCACGAGCCCAGATTTTACTCAAGAAATGATCATGGAGCACTGTTATTACCAATAACTGCTGGGAGCAGAAGACATGTAGACCAGAGACATCGCCCATGAACACACTACAGGGGAACCTGGCAGGTTAAGGTAGAGATAGCTGAGAAGCCTTTACACAGTAATCCTGAAACTGGCACCAGAAGTGAGTTTCTAACCCAGCTTCGGAGGAAGAGGCTCAAGGCAGTAAAAGGGCCTGAAAAAATGTATCTGGGTGCTGAAAGGACAGGAGGGACACAGATAACCGGAAGGAAAGTAGGAATTCTGGGTAGAGTGAAGAGCCTAAAGATAAGGGAACAGAAAATGTTGACTGGGTTTCTGACAGCTTTGTGTCACAGGACACAGAGTGACAAAAACCATGGCTAAGGTAGAGTCACAATGGATGGCTGAGGTTAGGTCATAAAGGATCTGGTCTTTTCTTCAGGAGTCCAGAGTTGAGTCTGGAGCATCAGAAGTTTGTGAACCATCAATGCATTTAGCATCTCTGGGAGTAGAAACCTCTGCAGTGAGATTGCCAGTGTCTACGCATCACCCCTGGCAGCCGGAGGCAATCAATCAACACTGGTCATATATGCAGGTGGCTGTACTGAGTTTTAATCACTAGAAAAAGAGGGGCCAGCAGCCTTTGGGGATACCATCGGTTTTGCATTTATAATCTAGAAATACCTCTCACTCATGAGAGCAAGCATGGGAGAGAAGGGGTGGTTGAAGAATTGAGTTGGTAAAACATGAGGCAGTGATGTCATTTAAACAAGAAGATGAGGTGAGATGAGAGCCAAGGATGGCCAGGAGGAGCCAGGTATCAGTTATACCAATCAGGACATTCTGTGTCCTACTGGCAGCTCCTTGTAACAGGAACGAGGGCTTCTCAGGATGCTTGCTGGGGAGGCAGGATGAACTGTAGAGTACCTTAAGTAACTATGGAGTCTGAAGACATGAAAGTATAGAGCAATTTCTAAAACTATACATGGAGTTGGCTAATAGCAATGACTAAATCTCAAGCATAGCTGTCATGTAAAAGCAATTCTTTACTAAGATACGGAAAACTGAAAATCGAGCACCTGTCTCAACAACAAGCTTTAATAAGAGAGGGGTCTTTAGCTCATCTTGACAATAGTGTAAACATGTTTCCACTCAATAATGCTGCTACTCATTCTATCATTTGTTTCTGTACTCAATTTATTTGCATAATTTCATCTTTTATTCCACAATATTTTATGTATGAAATGGGCTATTATGCAAGATGTCCCATGCCACTCATCATTACTGGAGCGGCCTGCACATAATACTATGGCAAGTGCTCCTGTACCTGGGGCCTCCTGGGCCCTCCAGCCTTGGTAACCAGAGAGAATGGAAAGGCCTGTCAGGGTCAAGAATCTGAATTTAGGTTTTCTTCACAAATTTCAGAGTGGAGCTCCTCGGCCCTGAGCATGGGGGCAGCCCCCTGTGGTAAGGAGGAGTGGTGAGGCAAGGCCTGGAAGGAGTGGGCGAACTCTGAGGCCTAGCTACACAGTGGTGGATGCTGGCCCTTCCTCTGAACACTTCACGTGCTGTGCGATCTGCTCTAGGAAAATGTCTCCTTCCTCTGTTACCTTTTTTTACAATACCAAGGGAGCCAGAATATGTGAAGGAAGAAACATGAATATGTAAATACAGTGCACTACCTCTACACAGATTTTAAAAAATAACTCAGCCCACATACGTGTTCCTTAATGGGCCTTATATTGACCTCCTATGTTTCATGTAGCTTGCAGTCAAGGGGGACGCAGCAAAGGCCCCAGACAGCCTGATCCAAAGTGCTCAATGAAATCATTGTGATTTCAGAGATTGGCAAACATGCACATCTAAAATTTTAAAGCATTCCAGAATCTAAAATGAGAATGAGCTTCTCAACCTGGGTTAACTAAGCCTAACAATGCAGACACCCAAACTGTGCCTTCCATACAAGGTCCTGGCTCACACGTACTCATGTCACTGTACATGCATGCAGCCCATACCCTATGTAGGGCCAGGAGAGTGCCTCACACCTACGTGCAGGCTTCCTGTTGCAATGTCCCTCTAACAGGCATAGCATTCTCCGAGTCTCCCATCTGGAAAACTGGCAGAGCCTCTGATAAGCAATAAAGACAGAACACCAGAAAGAAACGGTGGGGAGGCTTTTGGAGACCGTAGCACACCATGTATCTAGGAAGTACTAATGCCATGTAGCAAAATAATGATGATAACCATGCAAAACTGGCCCCAGCACTACCGCCATCATCATCATCACTCCCTTACGCGGTTTTCATGGGCCAGCTGCTAGGCTAAGATCTTTAAGCCTGTCCTCCCACTTAATCCTCAGAGCGCCACTAAGAAAGAGCCCAGGCACAAAGAGATAGAACAACTTGCCCAAGTCATGAAGACAGATCACACCACCTGACCTGAAGTCATCCATATCCCAGAACTGCCTCTGCACCCTGAAACAGCTCACTCCCCTTTGTATAGACAGTTGAAGATCAATAAATACACTTTGAATTAAGGAAATAGTTACCATCCCCATCCACCTCCCTCGACTTGGAGTAAAAATGAAAGTGTCTTCTATAAATACGCATAGGCATAGAGGAAGAGGCCCCTGTTTCTTAAGAAAGACGGCAATTACTCTAGCCTACGTATCTTGTTCACCAAGGAGTTTTTCTCAGAAGGTTAACTTTGGAAATTGAGCCTTCAGATGTTATTTCTAAGTCATGCATCTTCCCTTCCCCCTCATTCCTGTCATGAGTCGAATGTACTCTGTGTCATTTCTTAATAAATGGTTTGCTATTAAGACATCATTATAGTAATGTGGGCTATTGGAAGAAAGGGGTTACTTCGGGAGCCAGCCCTCTTGATGACCTGCTCTTCTGTACACATTAGCAGTTGGAGAGGGCTGTGGTTATTGAACTTCTGCCATCCACCAGAGACAATCTGCTCCGGGCTGCATTGCTGGAAAGAGAAAACTATGGGGAAAAAAATCCTATCCAAATTTCTAGGCTCCTCTGCCTGGGAGATGACGGTGCTGAGTGTAGGTCTTGTTCGGCAGGACTTTTCAGGAAGTGTTATCAAAACGTCTACCCATGCGTCCAGCCTACAGTTGAAGGCACACAGAGGCTGAATTTCCTGGGACAGTGCAGATTCCAAGAGTCTCTTTGGTACCTTAGGCATTGCTTCATATGCTTGAAAACAGTGGGCAGGGCATGGAAACTTCTGCCCCTGAGAGGCTTGCAGTCTAGGGATCAGACATCATAGCTGTCCTTTCCTCAGATCGGCATGCTCCTTCCCCAATACACACAAAGGGGGAAAAAAGGACCAAGGGCCATAAATCCCTTCCCAAGGCTATGAGGACTCAGCACTTGATTTCTAACTCATAAAATAACCATGAAAAATTAAGACATCTTTTTCTTTCAATTGTGTGACCAAAAAACACTCCCAGAGAGTTTGGAGTTTGCACTATAGACTGGGGGCTGGGGACTCCAACAATAGCACACAGTTCTATGCCGGAACAATTTCATGTTGTTTTGCATTCCGTTGGCAAAGGTCCTGTAAGAAAGTCCATGTCACTGCCACAAAAGGAGTGAACATGGGAAAATACTTGTTCTTCTTTCCATCAAAGGCTCAGTTGTAAGACACACAATGCTATGAAAACTGGCGAATCTGGAATCATCGTTAAAGGAAATTAACTTGGAAAGTAATTTATGGCAAGAAAATCCAACTCCTTTGTTATCTCCCTTTTACTGTAATATGTTTCCTGAACACTGCCTAAAAGAGAGGGCTTTTAGAAAGAAAAAAAAATAAGTATAGTCAAATTAACTCATTTTATCAATTTGTGTTCTCTGCCGGAGTTTCCTGACTGTGGCTATGACGGGCTGTAAAACTGATGAATTTGCATGGAAAAAGAAACCA